GACCACCCATCGGTCCACCCATTGGACCACCCATCATACCCTGAGGTCCATTCATACCGGGCGGCATCTGCGGCACTGAAACACACAAAAACATTAAGGGTCTATTCCACCCCTTTCTGATAGAGGCTCAGATAGCTTATCTGTCTGATGAGGAAACAAAATCACTTTTTTTACATGTTGGATTGTTATCAGACAATTTACAATTTGGTGGGATATGCCCTGATGTGTAATGTACTAACTTTTTCTCGCGATTTCGACCGCGTGAAATTAAAAATACTAAAAAATGTAGCCTAGTTACTAACTGAAAACATAGCTTTTTAATGGTGTAATTTTTAAAATCGCCCCAGTAGTTTTTAAGTTATGTCAATACATACATACATAAAAATCCAAATCTTTTCTCTTTTAATATGTAGTTATAGATTGAATAACTAATTTTTTTTCAAAAATGCAAAGAAGTAAGGTTGCCATGGTTACTTAAATTCTCCTTTAATGGCAAAGCTTTTGATGACACTTGAATTTAGACACTTGCCTTATCTGGCAGTGAAATCATTAAGCTATCTGAGGCTCTATCAGCCAGTGGTGGGACAGGCCCTCAGTCGGTTTATTTAAATTCTTTTGTCAGTTTTGTGGTAATAAATACATATTATATTATGGTTGATACTAGTCAATATTAATATTATAAAGAGGAAATATTTGCATTTAAATATATTGAAATAACTCAAAAACTACTGGGCCAAATCAAAAATTCCTTACACCATTAGAAAGGTAATTTATCTATGAGTAACATATATATTTTTAATTACATGAGGAAGGAACAGCTAGTATATAATAATATTAGTAATTCCTACCTGCGGAAGACATTGCCTCCATCTCCGCTTGAGTGATAACTTTACAAGTGGGACTCTCCATCGGCCTCGTCCACGTCGTGTCTCGCGTCCTCGAGTGGTAGTAGTACAACTTGCCTTCCTCCGACTTTGTTTCCACCCATAACTCTGGAGCAGGCTACAAAAACAACTTATAATCAAAAACCTATTGTCTTTTTTTTATAGTATAAGGTGGCAAATGAGCAAGCGGCCACCTGAATCCACCGAAATGGAAAGCGACCGCTGTCCATAAACATCCGCAATTGCAAATGTGTTGCCTACTCTTAATTGAAGGAGTAGGAGACGCACATAAAAGGGGACATTTTCCCTTCCTATTCGTCTCGTCCACCGTCAAATCCAATTTTCCTTCCCATCCTTTCCACTTAAGAAAAGGATGGAAAGGGAAAGGGACTAAAATTAGGACTGGCTCAACACTCATCAGACGAAACGCGGAATTGCTCCCACTTCACACCTGTTTTCTGTGTAGTCGTGGTATTACACCGGGCGAGTCGACCCAAACATGACACCGTTTAAGCTTTATATTTTCACACTTTTAAATTTAGGGGGTGAATATTTTGAAAAACCCATCATATGGCAAAGGGCCCATAAACTACAAGCTGACATTGAGGAAGCAAGGTTGCCATGGTAATGATAATTGTTATCCAACATCAAAGGCCTTCATTGTTATTTGAATTTTGACATTGTGAATTTCACAAATGTAAACAATAAAATAAAGCTTTTATAATTTCATACAGATGAATCTGCAGGAAAAAGGCTAGTCTGTGATAAGATATGAGATAGTAAGATTTCATTATGTTCAAACTCACCATATTTGGTGGAGGCATTCCCGGAGGTCCGGCAAACGGAGGGGGTTGTCCCATCATATTAGGCGGAGGTCCCATTGG